TCTTGTTGTTGATGAAATGCTGACGGATGTTGACGTAATAAGGTAAGTGGCAATAGAGTTTATAGTAACTGAATTTAGAAAGAGCCTTTACCATAAAAGTGCGATACCTTATAACTTCTCTTTTTAGCTGGTTAGTTATATTTTGTTTCTATATGTAAACGATAATCTATATTTGCGTTTTGAAAAGACGGTGCTCTCATTAATCCAAGTTCTGCCTACCGTTCAATAAATTATTTTAATTATAATTATATAAAGGCCACACTACCATGTTAACGGACAAATCTGGAAAGTTTTGTCACATGTAAAATAAATATTTAAAATAGGCCAGCAATTTTTAATACCCCTGTATACATTTAAGGCAGCAATAATTTTTTCTCAATTTTTTTTAAGTTCATTTCTCTGGCTTCAAATTCAGCACAAGAATTAACTCTGAACAGTAATGTACAGGGTATTGACAATCTTTTTTATTATGGCATACATATTTAAATATCTTTAAATATCTCAAAAATCAAAGCATTTAAACATATTAACTAGTAGTGGGAACTATCGAATGAATACTATCGAAACATTCGATAGTTGCAATTCATTCGAATAATTCGATAGTTAGTAAGAAACATTCGTTGAAAACTATTCGAATAAAAATTATCGAATAGATCCGTCATCTGCCTTGAAATATTGTATTCTAGTAATTCGGCAGCAAAAACCATTCATTTATAAAATTCATTCATTTATGAAATTCATTTATTCGTCAGGATCGATTATAATAAAATACTAACTGAATTTTGGTGATAAGCCCGGCGACGTAGGTTTCTTTCCGAGGAACCCGACAGCAGTCGGTGGCAATGCTATGAAGAAGCCGGCATCTTTGATTTTTTGCGAGTCAGATATAGATAAGGACACATTATTTTTTATTGGTGCTAGTATTTACACAGAAAATACATTATGAAGAGCACTGTTGCCATATTTTGGTATAGTTGATATTAGCGAATATTATTGTTTAGCTTTAGTTAGTTAGGGATAGTATGTCTATATATTCTGCATTTTTTTATTAATATTCTGTTGTTACACTGCAATAATGCTTGTTATTTTGGATGTAGGAAAATTATTTTTAATGTTTTAAGCAAAAACTGGTTTAATAAATAATAATAACAGGAATAATTTGTTATATACCTATTAACAACAAAATTTAAAATCATTATTTAATATAAATATTTTTAAGTTTTTTTTTTTTTTTAAACAACAAATTAGATGTCAAAAGTATTTATATTGATCCTATTTAAAATATAGTCTCTAAATTTTTTTGTGTGTGGCAACGTTGGTTTATTAAATAATAATTACAGAACTAATTTGTTATATTAACAACAAATTTTAAAATCATGAGAAATATAAACATTTATTAATTTTTCTAAGCTTTGTGCAGTGTAATGGAAGGAAAATATAAATAAAAATTAGAAATCAAAATTATTTATATTGGGTGCTTTATATGTTGCTATTTAGAAATATATTTACTTTTATTGGCATTTTACTTTAAAAAATAAATGAAATATTTCTTCGCAAAAACTACATGTAAGAATTAGCATAAAGAATTAGCCAAATTAAATTGGCACGTGTAAAACTTTCATTTTAATTTTTCTCACCCCATAGTTTTGAGTTCGATAGCCATTTACTTAACCACATTACTTAATATGTTATTAAGTTCAACTAATTCATATTAAAACATCTAAAATACAAATATGTATTTTAAAATTAATTAATAAGTTCATCTCATACTCTCTTAAAAATTGCTACTTCTCCAAATTTCCCATTAAAAATAGACCATATACCATATAAAATTAAATAATTGAAAGATCGGACTACCGAAAACCACACAATTTTTTTTCATTTATTTTTAACTATTTTAATAAACGCAAAAATAGCACAGTATTTATACGGCGAAGTTATAAAAATTTGGAACTAATAATGCACTGACGCACAAAAAATCCAAGCAGATACTAAATTTCATTTATCCAAAGCATTCGATAGTCGTGGCTCAGCGATAACCATTTAGTCGCACGGCGATGTTGTCACATATGCTTTGGTATGCAAATGAATAAATGATTCTATTCGAATAAAACCATTCGATAGTTGAAATCATTCATTCATTAACCATTCGATAGTCTAATTCATTCGATAGTTCCCATCGCTAATATTAACCCTTTATAATAAATTCCGTATTTTATGTCCAATAAGAATCCAAAAATGAAAAATACCGGGTGTTCCATAAGAAAAAAATATAACTTCGGTTAAAGAAAAGTCTCATACAATTTGGAAACATAAATATGTATTTAAAAGAGCAATAAAGGCTGGTTTGGAACAGCGGAAAAAATAAAAACCAGCATGGTCTCGGCATGCCTCGCGTGCTTTCCGTAATTGGCCAGACGGATTCGCTAGATTTATTGGTCTTATTTACGAGGAAATTACGGAAAACCCACCTGATTTCTTTGCATACATTTTGATTAAAATCAGGCTGGCTTATTGCTACTAACAAATAATTAACTGAAAAACTTCTAAGTTTAGTTATTATTAAAGATTTTGATTTGAAAAGTTTGTTTTTAAAGTTAAGATATAAAGTTTCAATTAAAACTTATTTCATCTGATATCATCACTTAAATAAGAATTTTCTAAAATTTATTGAAAATATACAGGGACCTGTTCTAAGAAAAAAACTTCATATGAATGTATGTCCTAAATAACTTAACTTTTCAGATACAGAATGGTAAAACTAAAAAAAAAATTAAAAAAGTTTTTTAGAAAATTTCACACCTCTACTTTTCAACCAATAACATGCTTTAATGTTGACTGTTACCATGGCAACTGAAGAAATTTCCGCAAATTTTTTCGAGGCGCCAAGAAACTTTAGTGGAAATTATTTGACAGTTGAAAAGGTAAACATAAGATCTACATTCATAATGTGAATGAACTACAATGTACATATATTGAAATATTACCCATTTGAGTTTAGCATTTGATGTAACTAAGGTTGGTAATATTTTTATTTAAGGAAATATGTTAGATATACCTACATATGAATTTCTTCGAAATTGCCATGTTCTAAAAATATAGTTCTGCCGCCTTTATTTGACTAAAGCTGGTATTTTTTCTATTTAACGAAATATGATGGATATATCTATATAATTTTTTTAAATTTATTTCATGTTGAATTATCTTCAATGCCAAATCTTTAATTATATCGACTAATATAGCAAAATAATAACTAAAACTAGAAAAAAAAAAAAAAAAAAAAAAAAAAACAATTATTGTAAATGTTTGTAGGCTGGCTTGAATTGGTGGTTTGAATCTGGGTATTTTCTGTTTTTATTTTGCATTGTGCTCTGATCATGATTGAACTGGCTAGTACTTGATGAAATGCTCCTCATGGATTCAATCATCTGTTGATGATGTTCAGCGTCCAACTGTAAGTAAGGTTTGATCGACTGACTATTACTATGTCCAGTCATTTTAATGAGCTGTTGTTCACCAACTCCTTTCTTGGCCAAATTCGAAACAGCTGTTGCGCTTGCAGAATGATTGGTTATTTTAACTTTTTTGATGTCAATTTCTATATCTGAAGCTGCTGATTTAAGCCATGAAGATACAATGTTCTTACCAACTGGGCTATTCTTGTACCATCCTTTCGGATTGGGTTGATTCCAGTATGGGTTTGGTATTAAGAATAGTCTGTCGGTTAGAATAAGATTTCCCCTTTTTCCATCAGCTTTCTAAACAAGCGAACCGGACACATTTGTGGATTTTCAGGAAATTTCTAATCAGCCATTTACTATCCGACAGTTTTTAGAACCACCTTGTGTGGTTTTAGAAAAATTGAATTATATTCTATCCGACCTTTTGGGTTTCCGAAATTATCAGTTTCTTCTTTGAAGTATTGGATACAAGCAGAATGTCCTTCCCTACTCTCCATGCCAGCTCATGTGAAACTATGTGAAAAAAATTTACGCTGCAAGTCATCTGGAGTATTTTCATCACACATTTCAATAATTTTTTTTTGTATTCGTCACTGGTTAGTGCTGAAGCACTCACTTTTCCTTTTGCTGAATCTCTCTGTAGTATTTTGCGCTTAGCATCGCGTGCAGCTCTGGCGGTCACAAATTTCACATCAGAAAACGGATTAAATTTTATTTTATATTTTCGTAATAAATTTCTTGCAACTGATTAGCAGTAGAGTTCCACATCACTTTGACCACACTTTCCTTATAATCTTCAAAATTTTCTTTTTCATATTAAATGCGTAATCCTCCAGTATAGTAGCCAGGTGTACTACACTCATACACTCATAAATATTATACGACTTTTCATCACAAAATTCAACAAACTGTTTCCATACACTTGATTTCGATTTTCGGGTGTTATCTGGTTTCATATTTTCAATTTCTTCTTTAATGACTTGTTGGTTTACTTTTCCAAATCGCGACATTTCGCTATACACTTCTTACTCTAAGTACAGACGTTTTAAAACTATTAATAGCTTAATGACAGAGTCGCAAACAAAAATGACAAAACACATATTATGTCAAAAACATCACCTTGGCCAACAGCAAATTATTTTAAAATGTCATGTTGGATTAATATTTTTTTCAAATTTAGGTGTGAAATTTTCTTACCGAATGCCACGCAAGCTTAAATTATTCCTGAAAATTTTCTTTTTTTTTTTTTAATATTTTAGGAAAAGTATCCCTCGTCTTCGACTCGGGATAATTTTCAAAATAATTTTTTTTATTTTGAAATAAATTTCCGAAAATAATTTAGGCTCTTGTCTAATAATTTACTACGCCGACTGTATCTCAGAAATTAAGATATTTAGGATATACATTCATATGAAGTTTTTTTTCTTAGAATAGGTCTGAGAATCACCCCCTAGCATGCCATTACAGGAATGTCACAGAAACACCCTGTTTAATTTTCTCTATGTCCAAACGGAAAAGTTATAGAAAATCAAGACATACCTGCTGCAATGATGTGAAACACACATGGTACTCTCTGGGCTCCTATTCTATTTGAAGCATAACAGAGAAGGGTACCATAATCCAGTTCGGTGATTGGTGTGTATGAGACGACACTAGAAGTACCACTCTTGGCTATGTGAGCTTGTGAAACATCTACTGAGTCAGCGGAGTTGTTAAAAGTCCATCTGAACTGAACCTAGCAACAAAAGATTGGTATGGTTAAACAAATTCTTGATCATTTTTTTAAGCTACAAATATTGTAGGAACATATAGGGTGTCAAAAAATAGTGTATCTAATTTTGGTAAATGATTCCTAGATATAAAAATAAAATAAAAAGTTCCTATAAACATATGCCCAAAAATGCTTTACGAACAAGTTACAGCTCTCAAAACGTTAAATAAAAATAACATATTTTGTTTATTAAACGGTTTTATTTAGCTCGACCCGTACGGTATTTATTTATTTGTTTGTTTATTTGGGTCAAAATTAGAAATTGAAATTTAAGTACCTTCCTGTTGTCAGATTGATCTGAAATTTGGTACACACCTTTAGTTCCGATGACAATACAATATAGTAATATCAATAACATTGTAAATCTAAGATATCGCGGTACAAAGATGGCGGATTTCATATTTTTCCACAACCCACTCAATATGGGTATCAAATGAAAGGGCTAGTAGAATACTGTGATTATGACAAAATTTAAAATCCAAGATGGACGTCGTTACAAAATGGCGTATTGGGTGAGGGCATGAGTAGTCATGTCCAGAACAGTTGTGTGCAAGATTGTGTGACGTTAGAAGGATAGATAAAAAAATAGGTGATTAGATGTGCCTACGTAGTTAGCGGTAGCTTTACCACCCAAGTTAGGGTAATAGGTTAAAACGTGCTGAAGACTGTATGGCATTAGGGTGGCTAAAAATGTAATGTCGTAAGCGTTTTCCCCTCAAGATTGGGCGCATCTTGTTGTATATTATAGCCTTCCCCTCTACTGGACCTCTGAGGGGGTCGACCGTTAAAATGTCCGTTACTCGTGGGAACAACATGGAAGCAATAAATAAAAAAAATTGGTGTCTGGGAATTTTTTGACATGAGAAATTTGATTATGATGTCAATATGACTCCTACTTGTAGAGGGCGCCACCTACATATCTTTTAACTGATTTGAAGAGTAATAACTTTTAGTCCGTGCCTGTATAATATTACTGAGTAAAAAAATATATGTTCACGACATTTTTTACGGAAAAAAAGTCTCTTGGGAAAAATCGCTACGAGTAATGGTTCTCGAGATATTTGGAATGGAAATTATCAATATCTGTCATCATTTGCTGTCCTCCATTCGCGAATTTCAAGTTCCAGAGCTTTACGCCCTGGGCTACTCGAGAACGGTTCTGAAAGGAGCTGTGCGTGATAGCCTGGTGCCTCCATATGGCGCGGAACAGTTCTGAACTTTATGACTCAATTGAATGGAGTGAGAGTATCACAACAGTTCTTGAACAGTTCAGAGCTGCACAACTGCATGAATGGAGTCATAAATTAAATATCTTCACTATACAGGTTGTTAACTGGACAGTTACTTATAGGGAAACAGAATGGCAATACTGCCTATTGAGAACGCATGCACATATAGGGTTTTCTGCCGACTCGTCCCGGACCGAGGTTGCCATATTTTAACCATAAAGCTCTTTCCGCGAGTAATAAACACATTAACAACCTGTATAGTAATTAGACTGAAATCATAAGTTCCAAATCTTTTTGTGCCAAAAGTTCAACAGAAACTGTTTTATCAAACTTCGCAGAAAAGTTTATGATTAATTAAAAAAAAAAATCCCGAATTTATTTCAGTCAAATAACTATCTACTCAAGGTATGTTTATTTTTTGTCAATGACATGTATTGACTAAGTATTTCCATTCCACATAGCATCAAATTTCATGAATTTATCTATAATGTCCATCAGAGTTATTATGAAAGGAAGTATTTTTTTAGAAAACTTAACTACCCTGTGTCCCAAAAGTTAAGATATTTAGGACATATACATTCATAGGAAGTTTTTTTTCTTAAAATATATCCATGAATCACCACCCCCCTAAAATACAATAAAATCGAAAAAAAAAACGGGGTCAAAGACGACTGGAGAATAACAATCGATGATAATTTTGGCGAGGTCAAGCTTTAGACGTCATCTACTTTTTTTAATGCCTTTTACTGTCAGTTGGCCTTAAGAATGTTTTATTTTTTTACATTGAGTAAATATTATTTTAAATAGTGTTGTAGTTTAAAATTCGAGAAAAAAGTTGAAAATATTGTGATGGGGGGGGGACCCGTCTATCTAAAAATAAACGTATTTCTTTAAACTCAAAATAGTCAATTTTAGGACACTCTGTATACATAAATAATTATTGTTTTTTAAAATATTATTTGAAAACTAGAGAGAGAGAAATCAGACAAGGAACAGAGATGATAGACGTTAGGTAATAGCTTTGAGACGCATTGATGTTATTTTGGTTTGCAGGTTTTGGTCATTTTAAGAATATTATTATAATTAATGTTAACTAAAACATATATTTTATTTTCTTGTGGTAATATTCTGTGCTAAAAATTATCCTGATTTATTTGATCTGAAAATTGATTGAATTTATCCTGTGAATAATTTTAGTTTAAAAGTAATCTAAATACAATCGTTTACTGTCCATCCGTGGCGATATTTTTGGTTCAGTGTGACAACAAGAGCCTTGTTGAGTGTACAAATATTTTTCGACCGTGCCAGGGCGAATATCTTAGCTAAAAAATGAGCAATCAAAATCAAAGAATAGAGTAACTCATAGTCGAACGGTATTTGCACCAGAACCAACAAACCTTTAAGTTTAACTTGATGCCTCGAAATCAGAGGCTTTAGTACTTGCGGGTGGGGATATGCTAAACTAACCAAAACTCTTCTTATTACGATCTTGGATATGTTATACTACAATAGATATACAGGGTGTTTCAAAACAAATGCGAAAAACTTCAGGGGTGATTCCTTGTTGTTCAAAATAAAGGGTACTTTGCTTAATAAACGTTGGGACAAAAAGTCAACTATTAGGGGAGATATTGCGGTACAAAGATGGCGGAAAATAATGTTTTATTTTTATCTTGAAAACGAAAAGAGACAGATTAATAAAATTTATGGAAGCATTACTGTTAGGTGAAAACACACTTTCTGGTAATTTTTTTTCACTTTTTTAAAATGAGTGGAAGGGGTTGAAATAAACTACCCATATCGTTCTTGTTAACGAAATTTAAAGAAAAATCTTATCAAACACATGCAAAAAAATTAATTTGGATAGTTTAGTTTGTTTAGAAACTTTTTTATCTCTTGTATTTTTTGATGAAACTCACCGATTTGAAATTAAAATAAAATGTAAAGCATTACATGTCAGGACAAAAACATTTTCTGATAAAGAATCTAGTGGGCTGCTGTAATTTTTTAGGAAAAATCTAGTCGGCCGCTGTTACTTTTAGGATGTTCCTAATATTATTTTATTTGACATTACTCTACTGCAATACGTTATTATCTAGATGATTATTTATTATCGTTATTATCACTATATTCTTAATCTAAAAATGTTTTTGTCCTGACATGTAATGCTTTACATTTTATTTTTTAATTTCCAATCGGTGAGTTTTATCAAAAAAAACACAATAGGTAAAAAAGTTTCAAACAAACTAAATTATCCAAATTAAAGCATTTGCATGTGTTTGATAAGATTTTTCTTTAAATTTCGTCAACAAGAATGATTGGGTAGTTTATTTCAACCCCTTCCACTCATTTTAAAAAAGTAAAAAAATTACCTGAAAGTGTGTTTTCATAACAGTAATGCTTCCATAAAATTTCATTAGTCTATCTCTTTTCGTTTTCAAGATAAAAAATAAAAACATTATTTTTCCGCCATCTTTGTACCGCGATATCTCCCTAATGGTTGACTTTGACCCAACGTTTATAAAGCAAACTACCCTTTATTTTGAACAAGGAATCGCCCCCTAAAGTTTTTCGCATTTGTTTTGAAACACCCTGTATGTGTCTGGAAACCTTCTATCCTTTTTCAATCTTTTTATAATTAGTGTTAATTTTGAGAAGTTTTATGTCATTTTTTAATAAATGACATCTAGAAAATAATAATAATCGATAGTGCTCACTCACTAGTCGTCTTTGACGCCATTTTTTTCCGATAATATGGCATTAGCAAGTCATTAAGGAACATAGCAGGACTCATTTTTAAAGCACATTTAATGTGTATGGCACAAAAACTTATCTATTCTAAAGCCACTGTAATTTAATAATTTAATTTTTTTTTCATTATTTTCATTTTATAGGATTTTTTTTTGAATTAAAAAAAAAACAGCAAAAACGTAATATGAATTTCCCTAATTCGGGCTATATTTTTATTTCGAAAAAGACCAACAAACAACTTGAACGCCTCTCATTTCGAATTGTTTATGTAAGCCTGTACGAGCTCCCTGTCCCTAAAAAAAGAACAGCAAAACCCCAATTTTAAAAATGCCAACGTTTTTTCTGTCCATTCCCATATCGGCTATTTTATGTTTTCCATAAATCATGGAGAATGCTCACTTCGTCTGGCGAGAAGCGTTTGATTGTTGTGCGCTCCGGGAAAGGGTATAAAAATAAACACGATAAAATTTTTGCAAGGCTTCGGTAAGAATAAAACTTTATTTCTGTTTAAAGTATCCAGTTTCATTGTGGAATAAAATAAACGGTTGGAAATTTGTAGGGAACTGGAAATTATTCCCATTACAAAATAGGAGAAACAGTGTGAGAATGATCTTCTAGTTAATGGTGTAATTTTTAGCAAATAATTCTGTTTTTTCAAACTTCACAAAAACTTTTTGGGATTGGCAAGCACGTGGCCAAAATTAATACTTTTGTGACGTTTGAAAAAAATAGATTCTTATATTCCTTACCTCTTTCTGCTGTGAGCTGTTTTTCCGGTAGCCTCAAAGTTGAGGCCTGCAAAATGACCGGTTCGCTTCGTCCTTTGGAATTGTATGCAAAGAGAACCGCCTGGTACTGCGCTCCTGGCTCCAGATTGCTGACTGAAAACCTCGCTATAGGGGCGGTAAGGTTGTCTTTCAGTACCTGGGACTGACTTTCTTTCAACTGTAAAAATAATAGAGTAAAGTAAAGGCGTAAGAAAAA